GGAAAGGATTCAAGATGCACTTAGACCTTGAGAAGTGTCACTAGAAGTCAAGGTGTGTCTGGGCAGCGAAGTTAGGGAAACGTAACAAAATCTAGGTCAGGTTCTTGGCCCACAAAACCAACTTAGAGCCAGCAAGCACACAGCCCAGCCACCATGCCTGGAGCAAAGTCAAGCAAAGGAGGGCTTGAAAGGCCCCTTCCACATGGTGGAAGTATTTGACAGCTAGAATAGCACTGTCCAGGTGAAAAGGCTTTTAAAACCGTACAAAAAGAAAACAGAAAGTAACAAGGAAAATGCTAAAATACCGATCTGAGTAAGGAAGATCTGCAGACCTTAGTGCATGGCCCAAATAATACCCTGCCAGCTGCTCGGAGGCAGGGATCTGCTGGGCTCAAATGCAGCAGGATGAGACACTTTTAAAAGGCGGAGCTGCCTGCAGAGTCATCACAATTGTATGGCACAAATTTTAAGTGAAATATCTATTTTAACCGTTAGGGCTTAGCTCTCCAGATATTGCTTGACAACTAGAAGCACTCTGCACCTTGTGCTCCGCACAGAAAGCATGCACCTGGGGCCACAACAACAGGTAGGAATGTGAGGCAAAGCTAACAGTATTGATTTTAAAATGGTGGTTTATTAGCTTATCTTATCAGCGCAGTTAATATTCAAGAAAATAAGACAAACATATATAACACTTTGACCTTTGCTATCTGGAATAATATTTACTTTTACCCTTTACACACATGACCTATAGGCTGCAAATGGTTCACACCAACTGTGAAAAACCGAAGCAATTAGCTGAAAAAGACCCTGCCTTGAAATCACTGGGACTTTTACAGGTCAAAAGTAGGGCCTGAGTAATGAACTTACCAGTGATGAAAGGAGACGTATAATGCAATAAAGGGCATGTTCAAGAAAAAACCCCAAAACGCACAAAGCAGCTGAGTTCTGCTAGCTTTGTTAGCGCATGGGCTACTGACTCCCTCCCTCAGGACTTGGGGAATGGGCTCCATGTCAAATGGCATCTTGTTTGTGGCTACGGGCACAGCAGTTTTCCCTTTTCAGGGGAATTTCTCATTTTTGAGGGTGTCCTATACAGCCAAAGGAAGAGCAGAGGTAGGCCTGGAAGACAAAATATTCACCAGTATAAAAGAGAAGAGAACCCTGCCCGAATGGCAAGACCCTCGTGCTGATGACTGTGCTGCAACTGCTAATGGGCACTCAAGAGAACAAACATGGCAACACCTTCTCTGCTTCAAAATCACCTTCCATTGCTGTGCTGCCAATTATTGCTATTTTATCAAAGGCCTTCACCACGAGGAGGACGATGCAGGGACAGCAGAGCTGATCAGGACACAAAAGGGTCTCAAAAAGCAAAAGTTATGGCCATGCAGGTACCAAGAGATGAAGGCAGGGGTTTGCTATTGGAAGACACTCCAAAAAGTTCCCCACACACCAAGGCACCCTCCTGAGAGTCTGAAGTCTCCAACTACATTTGCAGGAAAATGGAGACGGTCTGTATCTGTTTCTAATAAAAGACAGTGATGCAGTGTAAGAGGTCATGAAGTCTCCATTGCTGCAGGCCTTTAAGGACCCAGACCAGCCTTTTGCAGGAACAACACTGCCTAACACGTCTTTGCCTTGGCTGGGCTGGGTTCAGGAGCCTCTGATACAGGGCAGTGACAGCCAGGAGGCTGGAGAGTCCAGTATCTGCTGGGCTACATCAGAGCAAAGGCACTCCCACAAGCTCCCCAGATGGGAAATGATGTTCTCACCGTGAGTTTTGTCCCAGGGAAAAGATCTCCCCTATGCCAAAGAAGCTGTCCTGATACTCACCAATGCGTGATCAAACTTAAAAGTACTGATGTAGTAGGCTGGGATGTCGGCTGCAGCCAAAGGCTCAGAAATCTGAGCAACAATTCCACATTCATCTGCGGGGGAGACAAAAAATTGATCATTATCTCCACAGCACCTGTCAGTCTCACAGAACTCCTGGGTCTTGCAAGGTCCACGCCTATACAGGGAGGAGTTTGTCTTCACAAACTGCAATCAGAAGGGATCACTGTAGTAAAATGTCTTCTTTCTCACAGAATCAGGCTCATCGGGCCACCACTATATATTGCACATTTGATTTTATTGCCTTCTTTTTGTTACAGAGAAATGTAAATCCCCAAAGGCACCAAACACTAGAACTGGAATGATTTCCAGAGGTCCAAAGAAAGGCAATTGATGACGTTCAGCAAGGAAGCACCAAACCCAGTCTCATATACACTTGACTTCCATTTTTCTCTTTAGTTGTTGCTTTGTTGTTTGCTGTGCATCTCTGAGAGAGGAGATGTTGACCTGCTGGTTGGCCTGGACACATGGTTCCTAGACCACAGACCACCACAGCCCTGAGAGGATTTCACACCAGTTTAAATGGTTCCTCTGTCCTGTTCATCACACATCAATGGTACATTGTTTCCAGATGAGATCTGAGTTTCACTGACCCAAACTGAACATTTCAAACTGATTGTAAGTTAACATATTGAAACATCACATACTTATGGGACTGGTAGGTCGCCTGATGTCCCATCAACGATATATACCACGCGATTTCTACAGATTTTGCCTCCAAGATGCATAAAGAGAAGGTGCACAAAAACTTCCTTCTTGCTACTTTTGGTTGTCTGGTGTAGAAGTTGCAAACAAATATAAAAAGTAGCCAAATAATTTTCAGAAATATTCTTGAAGCCTGTATTTTGTAACTGTTTCAGAGACCATGGGAAGGAACCCCAGTGTTTTCTGAAGATCAGGCCTTTGTTGCAGTATTCAGATAGGACACCTGAAAATCACAGGTGACATAAAAGTAACAAGAACACTTCTGCAGACATGAAGCATTTGCTATGTGCTACTTAGGTCCAATATTCTTTTGAGCAGAGAAAATGTTGGCAGCACTGGACGTGAAACAGGTCTATGAATAGGACTCCCACTTGGACTGCTATAAATCTACTAAAGCCACACAGTTGCTCAAGGACGGCACTGGAGTACAACAGTGCCTTCTGACCACTGATTTCAGTAACCCACGATGCATTCCCAGGCCATCTTTTTGTCCACTTTTTCTCTTTAAATGGAGACCCAGCTGTAGCTACCTCCAAAGTCCAGCAGATGAATGCAATTTAGACGGAGCTGTCAAGCATGTAGCGCTTTCAAAAGTATATTTAGAAGTCTGACTTATTAGGTAGGAGTTAAGACTCCTCCTGCTTGAAAATCTCAGCTTGCAAAGTCACGTTAAGCTGCTAGCTCTTTAAAAGCCTCAGCCTCAGATGGATTTTTCCATCATCCTTGAAGGCCCTGAGGCGACTGACTACCTGTGCTCCAACTGATCCCCAAATGTTTACCTACCGAAGCCAAGAGGCTGCCCACCAATCCGCACCATCTTCCAGAGTTCGCCAGATGCACTTGTAAACAACAAATTATTAGGAAATCTGTAAAAGACAAAGAACACAAACGTGGCAATTAAAGCACAGCAGTGTGTCAGATTCTGCCTGGGGGCATGCTGCTGCTTCTGCAGCCCTGTGCTGCTTGAAGACAACAATAGTGGCAGCAGCAGATCGTTGAAACGGAGACAACTCGAGGCAAGTACGACAGATACACCTACCTGCCCCTCCAGATGTCCTACAGTAAATCAGCATCTGATGCTGGAAGTGTGCACAGGCACCCAGAGAGGCACGTAGAAAGATTTCTAAGGAACAGGCCATGTCCCAGCTTTACAAACGTTGAGACTGTTCATCTGAGGGCTTGACTGCAGCTGCATTTAGAAATGCCTAGGGACAGAATAGGTTTCCACACCTACTCTCTTGGGAATGTGAACAGTGACCGTGTTTTTGTGTCTAGGCACCATCAGTGCTTTTTTCCATACCATCCCTGGAAGGTCCCTGGGATCCCTGCACAGATCCCCATTTCTTAGCAGGGAAAAGAACACCGGTGGCTAAGAGACTTGCCCAAGGTCAAGCAGGCAGTCTGTGACAGAGAAAGAATTGGTTGCCCAGGCTCCTCAAGCACCAGGCTGCCGCTCCAGCCCTCTAGCCTCTCTTGAAGGCAGACAGAGGTTTGCTCCAATTAAGGTCAAAGGAGCTTTCAAGAGGGCAATTAATAGTTTGCACAACAAGTCCCTAGGGCAGGTAAGAATCAAAACCAAACACTGCACTGTACGTCAAAAGCAAACCTATACATTGCATCTCAGTGCAGCATCCTGTCTAGCCTCCAGACCTCAGAGACTTCTGTGATGTGAAGCTGCAGAAGTACGCACACATAAACAGGCTGATATTTGCTCCCTGGATGACTTTCTCCTTGCCAGACAAACGAGTCATGGGCTCCTGCTGCACAGGGATGACTCAGTACATTATCATCACAACGAGACTCTGCACCAAGCCCAGCCATGTGAAAAAGCAAAGCGGGAGGACACCATCACTGATGTCCCCACCCTACATTTGGCCTTTAGCAGTAAAACTTCAACAACGTACACCGTATTTTTTTGGGTTTTGCTCTTAAAAGCGCAACTGATGAACAACGGAATAAAAATGTCAAAATCTCTTTGTGCCAGTGTTCCTCTTTCAAAATAATTCAAGATAACCCTACATTACATTGGCTTGTGATTTCACTGGTGGCTTGGACAGACAAGCCCAAAATTCAGGAGCTGGAACTAACATGCCAGACTTCACTCAGAAAAGAGACAGGGTGTACAGACACACGACACCTACGCAATGAGACGCCCAAGAATTAACATGGAGGAACTTAAGCAGCTTCCTGCTCCTTTGAGAACATCTCAGGTGCTTTTTTGGGGTCCAGGATACCCTAAGACCAAAGCTCACCTCTGCTGTGTCTGGACATCCATGACCAAGGAGATGTAACCCTCAATGAGAGAAAAGGAGAAAAAGCGAATATGTCCCGAGTCTTCGTTGCCCACCACCGAGTCTTTTACTCTGATGAAACAGAAGAGAACAGCATTCATTAACTGTGGCTAGAAGGGCAAAGGAAGGCTTTTAAAGCAGATATAGCCAGTGAAACCAGAAACGTCCGTACACTGACTTAAGGAAGTGACACTGAGACCTGTCACATCATATGGCTTTTCATTTTTTTGATTTCGCAGGGGGAAAAAATGCCAGTCTGCACAACTGACAACACTCTCCCATCCCTGCCCCAAGGCCCTCTTGCAGGAAGCTGTGGGCCAGGAGCCACAGGCGCCAATGGGCAGCAGCACAGCCAGCCGTACATCCTCTGGTCACGTGTGGATATGCAGCACATTGATCATATTGCTACGCTTAGCTTAAATCTGAAAAGGCTCAGCTTTCCAAAGCCAGCAGATATCTTTGGGCTCCCTCAACCTCCTAGTTGGCTTCCACCTGTCAGGACAACCCTCTTGAGCCTGTGAAACCTCCTTCCCTAAGTGCAGAGCACTGCAGCAGCGCAAGGCCACAGCAGATCCCTGGGCATCCTGGAGAAGCAATGTGAAGGCTTCTGAAGCCTCCACATGCCAGCCACACCTCCTCCGGGACCCTGTCTCCCTGCCAGGACCTACCCATTGGAGTAAAACATGACATCCATTAGGAGTGTAGCAACAGTGGGAAGGGTATCTGGATCCAGGCTGGTGACGCAGAACATATTACTCGGACTGGAAAGGGGATGAATGACAGGCCTCTGAACTGAAAGAGAGACACACAGACACACACAACTATGAAGCCATGTCTGCAGCAGGTTCATGTCCCACCAGACGTGTTATTCGTGCACTGGCAGCGGCCACAGAGAAAACTGACAGGGTTTGTAAGGAAGTTCCTCATTGCTGAAGCCCTGCTGGCTCTTGGACAGGCACCGAGGAGCCTGGGGACAACCAGCTCTTGCGGTGTTCTCCCCAGGGTACAGGGTGAGACCATCCCGAGCACCCTGCCTTGTACGAGGCATGGGTCAGCTCTCTGCTCGTAGGGGCTTTCAGGCCATCAGGTGCATCCACAAGAGATAGGGGGCAAGCTAAAGGAGGTGCCAACACAAACTGAAAAGCAGAAATAAATTCAGGCTTCCACCATTTAAAAGACAGGGCTATAGAAGGCATTTCTCTGGCTGTGCTTGCTGGCAGTACATCCTCTTTCCCCTGCTTTCTGCGGGCCTATTTTGCCATAACAGCTACAAAAAAAACCAAACTAGCTGCCACGCAGCAGCTTGGCAAACACATTGCAGCCAGTGGTTGAGACGCAGCCGGTATTTAGGCATGCAACTATTAAACAGAGCAACACAGCAAACAGGATACCTGAGCATAATCAGCGTGTGTTTAAGGCTCATTTTCTTAAACAAGATTATCTATAGCTATCAAGTGACAAGGCTGAGTGGCACTTCATAGTAACCGACCCCTGCTTTGTTTGGTTATGGGCACAAAATTACACAGAGGTGTGTAATGCAAACATACGTGTTTAAGTAGTTCCTTTTCCTGATTATGCCCTCTGATTGATGCTTGTTCCTCTAGACTGGAAACATCCTAGGGTTCCATACAGCCCTGGGCTCATTGTGGCCTTGATCCTGACTGGTACTGGAAGTGTGCAAGTTGAACAACAGCATTCTCTGTGCAGCAGCCACTGCAACACTTAAACAAGCTTTTATATAAGCCACTTTCCTTTGAAATGCCGAAACATGGAAATATGGGCTAGAGACAATGTTATTTTTGCAACTGAAACGAATTGTACCTTCTGTCCTACAAAAGGCGTGTCTCCTCTAGAGGTGTGAAACTAGCATTAAAAGGCTCAAATTCGGCAAAGCTCATCAGCACTGCTTAGAAAGTTAAGCACCTACTCAAATCCCTGGTCGAACTAAGATAGACTCAGGCACGTGCTAAGACAGTTTATCATCTTACAACAGGATAAACATTCACCAAAATGTTGAATAAAGGTAGGAGGCAGACTTTCACCCCCATGTGTCACGGAGATCAACTCCCTGGCAAGCTGAGCCCATGCTGGTCCTTACCTAGTTTTGGTTTGACAAATCCATTCGTTATCCCAAGGTCATCGGCAGCCACTGTCTCCCCATTCACTACTCTGAGGATGGTGAACTCAGCAGCCAGCGTGTGCATCACGAAGGGCAGGTCTCGCTCACGTACCTGAAGTTGACAACAGGATCAGCTCGTGATGGTAGGCACCAGAAGTGAGAATACCTTGCAGTAGCGGTTACATACTCTCAGGGCACAGAAAAGTGGACACATCACTCCTGCTTGAGCCAGCAGGTGCGTAAGGACAATTACCATCTGGATGTGTGTCTAGAGAAGCACATTGGGTGGTATCACTGCAAATATCAATAGG